AGCAATTCCCCTTCTGGGATGAGCAGACATTTGTTCACATCTCCCAAAGGATAGATGATGGGAGATGTCATTCTGCAAATATGTTTCTCGTATTGGTCAATGAATAAAGCACGGTTGGCCAATAGGAAAGCAAAATAGGCGGTACTAGGAAACTAGGAGGAGAGAGGAAGTAGTAGGGAGGAGATTCAAGATGAAAGACAAGGTCTGGGCCCTCTCTCTGGTAAAATAAGACCACGTGGAAATACTTAGATGAATAGAAATGGGTTAATATTTAAGACAGAGCTAGCCGATAAGAAATGCTAGTAACAGGCTAACAGCTTTATATCAAATACAGAGCCTCTGTGTGTTATTTGGGGCTGGCGCAGCGGTGGGACCAGGCTGGCAGGGAAAACCTACTCATAACAGATAGTGTCACACAACACTGAGACAGGAGGTTGCTTGTGAGTTTGGGACTTACATAGTCACAAAGTGAGACCCTGAGTCACATGGCAAGCAAACAAAAAGACTGTGGTAGACAAAGCCTGGGTGTGGAATGAAACTCACATGGTGGTGGCCGCGACGTTGTTGGTGGGCAGTGACACTGAGCGGTCACAAACCACACCTTCTGATGGCAGAGCTGTGAAAGCACTGGCCATATCTCAGTGACCTTGGAAGGGTCGGTGGGCTTCTCACACAACTGCAGTATGGACCTCAGTTTGCTGCTTTCTTCTGTTCTGTTTGTGAGTTTGTTGGTTTTGCTTTGATTTCTTGAGACAGGGTTTCTCTGTGTAGGTCTGGCTGTCCTGGATTTGTGAGGGAGACCAGCTTAGCCTCAAACTCAGAGATCCACATCTGACTCTGCCTCCTGAGTACTATAAGATTAAAGGTGTGTGCCCTTTTGCCAGGCAGTCCTCAGTTTTCTAACTCAGCAAGGTTTAGAGGCCAGCCTGCATGGCCCTTTGACACATTCATAAAGTCCTGTTTGAGAGGAGACCTATGGCAAACCCCTGATCTCCTCACCAGCCCCACTATGGGCTGCTCTCATCCATGCTGGCAGGGGTGGGGGTGGGTGGGGCGGGGCTCTTTTACAGACCCCACTTCAGTAGCTCCCAGGTTCAAAGCCAGATGCCCAGGAGGGAAGATGCCGTGGGCTGGCTTCCTCCTCTGGCTGAGCCACAGTCAGCTAAGATGCCTTGGGCTCCCCAGCTCAGGAAGCAGAGCCATAAATTACAGCTGGAAGGCTTCCTCCTGCCTCTACCCCACCTCCATTAGCTCTGCTCGTTTATTTAACTTCTTAAAGCAATAAAGAGCTTGGCTACAGCCACCAATCTAGAAACGGTGAATTTCCTTTAAAGAGAAAAGAGGATATTGATCTGAAGAAGAGTGATAGCTAGCTCAAGGCCATTCATTCACGGTTTACAGTGAGGCAGGACATGTGACCCAGGCCAATGTGGACAAAACCCAAACCTGCCTTAAATGGGAATAGGAGTGCGATTGTCTTCCTGGAAGCTAAGGCCCCAGTTACTGTTTCAAATGTAGAGTTGGTTATTTACTAATCTATAGATCGGGTCTCACATAGCTCACCAAGTAGTTGAGGCTTACACTCCTGGGTGTCCTGCCTCCACCTCCTAAGTGCTTGAGGGACAGGCACGCGCCACCATGCCAGGCCTGACTGAAGCATCTGCGTTGCCAAGCATGAGTCGTTAATAAAATATTAGAACGTAAAGTGTCTTGGCTACTTTTAGATTGTTGTGAGAAGACATGACCAAGGCAATTTAGAAAAGGCAGCATTTACTTTGCCGGTCACTGTCGTAGAGGGTGAGCTGGCTGGGAACGCGGCAGCAGGCAGGCAGTCAAGCTTGGTCCTGGAGTCCACTCTGGAGAGAAACCATGAGGCAGAGCTACCCCCAAATGGCGTGGGCCCACTTCCAGTGGCACACCTCCTCCAACAAGGTCGCACCTCCTACCCTTCCCAAACAGTGCCACCTACTAGGGTCGAGGTATTCAAATTATGCAGCCATGGGGGGCGGGGTCATTAAAACCAGCACAGAAAGGCGCCTTACCGTAAGAGCGACAGCATTTCTGAAATCACTCAACAGTGATGCGCATTCCCACTCAACCCCTTTGTCACCATGGTTTTCATTCCCATTTTTTTCGAGGTCACACAGTTAGTGAGGCTCTCAGACTAGACTCCAACTCTTCTTGCTCTAGTATGCTTCAGATAAAACATGTTATTCTTCCTTCCCCGGGATTCTTTTCTTTGGGTTAGCCCAAGACAGCCTCTTCCATCCTCCTGCCTCAATCTCCTGGGCATTAGGATTATAGGTGTCACCATGCCCAACCTCCTCTGAATTCTGTGGGGGGGGGCTGCTCACGGAATGTGCATGTGTACACATGTGTGTTCCCGTGTACATGTGCAGAGATGAGGAAAGGGTGTCAAGGTGGGTGCCCTATTCTATCAACTTTGCCTCACTCCCTTGAGTCAGAGTCTCTCACTGAACTTGGAACTCGACATTTTTTTCCCCATGGATTTTGGATTGTCCTGTCTCTGCTCTCCCCAGTGTTGAGCTTACAGGTGCATGACACCGCACCTGGCTTTGTACATGGATGCTGAGGATCTAAACTCATGTTCTCACACTTGTACAGCAAACATTCCTACTCACTAAGCCTTCCCCCCACGTCTTCCTTGGGATTCTTTTTTTTGGGGGGGGTAAGATTTATTTATTAATTATGAATACAACATTCTGCCCGCATGTATGCCTGCACGCCAGAAGAGGGCACCAGATCTCATTATAGATGGTTGTGAGCCACCATGCGGTTGCTGGGAATTGAACTCAAGACCTCTGGAAGAGCAGCCAGTGCTCTTAACCTCTGGACCATCTCTCCAGCTCTTGTCCCCCCCACCTTGGAGTCTTAAAAAAAAGGTATGTGTGAGTGTGTGTGTGCGCATGCGCGCATGCACACGTGCATGTGTATGGGGATGGAGAGAAAGCTCAGCAATTAAGAGCACTGGCTCCTCTACCAGAGGACCCAGGTTCAATTCCCAGCACCTACATGATAGTTCACAAACATGTGTCCCAGAGGACCCAACGCCCTCTCCTGGCCTCAATGGCCATTGCATGCACAGACATACACATAAAATAATACTTTTAATATTTCTCCCCCTTTGCTGTGTGGTGAACATGTGTGGAGGTCAGAGGACGACATGCAGGAGCTGGTTCTCTCCATCTACACAGAGGCACTGAATTATCACACTCGGTGGCATGTGTCTTTACTTGCCAGCTCCTCCCTGGAATTCTTGAATTACACTCCATAGTAGATATCACTGAGCTATACATTTGTTTGTTTTTTACTTTTTAGAGCACCTGGGGCACACCCAGGGCTTTGGGCATACACTACCATTACACTTTATCTTTAACCATTGGCTTTTTGAGACATGACCTTGTTATGTATTCCAGGCTGGTCTTTGACTGGTTATCTCTCTGTCTATAGGATTATAAGCAATCATCTCTACACCTGGATTAACTATGAATTAATTCTATTTCTATTGAAGTCAGTGGAATCATGAATAACAGTAAATTATCTAAGGCTTTTTGTGTAATTTTATTATTTAATTTTGTACTTTGTATATTTGTTTGTTTGTTGAGACAGGCTTTCTCTATGCAGCCCTGGCTGTTCTGTCCTGGAACGCCATTTGTAGACTAGGCTGGTCTGGAACTCAGAGATCTGCCTGCCTCTGCCTCCTGAGGCTTGTGGAATATTTTAATTTTTTACTACTAGGAATTGAATACACTAGGCAAGTGCTCTACCCACTGAGACACCCCCAACTCTTTACTTGCTTTTAATACTTTTTTAAAACAGGATTTATTTTATGTGTTTGGGTGTCTTGCCTACATATGTCTATGTACTATATGCATGCAGTGTCTGTGGCAGCCAGAAGAGGGTGTTGGATCTCCGGTACTGGAGGCACAGAAGGCTGTGAGCTGCCATGTAAGTGCTGGGAACCAAACCCAGGTCCTCTGCAAGAGCAACAGATGCTCTTAACTGCCAGGCCATCTTTCAAGCACCCTTTTAAATACATTTAAAGGTTTTAGTTATTTATTTAATACAAACGTCTGTGCTCTGTAATAGTAACAAAAGACACCTGTTGAACATGCCCTCTTAGCCACACACCACACCGACATACCTCATGCACTTCAGGCCCCTCTGCCTCCACCATGGAGGGACTGCCCACTTTCCTACTGAGCAGACTTGGAAACAGATGCTTACGGATGTGAAGTGAGCTCATAGAGCTGACAGGGCTATGAACACAGGCGGTCTAGACATCTGAATACCAACAACACTAATGAGTATCTTCCGGGAGGTCCTAGACTATAATCAGTATAAAAGACAGGATTTGAGGCCTTGGGTTCAGAAAACAAAACAGACAAAAACACAAGCAGAAAGACAAACAGGCCCTGCTTTATGACACATGTTATCCTGCCTGTTCCGCCACATTGGTTATTTCGATGCTGTACATACACAGACACACAGACAGACAGACAGACACAGAGAGAGAGAGAGAGACAGAGACAGAGACAGAGCGCCAACCAGAGGGCTCATTGGCATCTATTAAAACTTGTGTGAATAAACAAATGTGTATTCCAGATGCCAGTGTGCTCAGAACTGATTCAAGCCATACTCAAAGAAATTCAAAGAAATAACTGTCCCACCTCCAGCAAATCCCACCCCTATGGCCCCTTCAGCACTAAACTCCTGAGCGGGCAGAAGCGGTTTAACCAAGCATTTTATAAACATGGATGCATTCTGAAAGGGGCAGAGCCTTAGCTCTGAATCCTGGGCCCTGTGTCCCAGACAGTGGTCCAGTCCAGGAGTGACCCCTCCCAAGTGACAGTCACCCCTCCCCTCCCACCCCCAGCCAGGACACGATGCCCCAGGGGGTTTGGTACAGACATCTTCCTTCAAAGGTGGACAGGCCCGGAGGCCAGTTCCATCCCTCCCTTCCCGAGCCCCAGCCTTACCCTGCAGTACTCATCGATGGGCTTCAGCCTCTTCACGGCCACGTCCCGGATGTGGCTTCTCCGGAAGAGGATCTTACCTGAAAGAGAGAGCCTAGTGAGCAGAGTGGCTGTGGCTGAGGCTGCTGTGGAGATCCTCTCACCTCTTGGATTTCCAACCTACACCACCTCAGCCCACTGTCAACAAAGCAAGAGAGAAGCTGTCACCTCTGCTGGGGGACAGGAGGCGCCCAAGGCTGAGGGCCCAGGGCCTCTCCCCGGAGGCTGCCATCTTGGGCGTCTATGAACAGCCTGGTTAACTCACCTTGTCTAGTCTGTGGCAGGATGAGTGAATGCCCAATGTTAGGGCGTGACTTCCTAATGACCTCACAAGTAAACATGAGAAAGGCCCAACCCATGTGCTATGTTTTGTCTTCCAGCCCCTCCCTAAGAGATCAGCATTCCTTTCTGCTGGCCAGGCAAGGTCTCCATTCTCAGCTTAGGTGGGTAGCTGCTTCCAGGGTGAGACAAGCAACTAGACACGATGGCAGTTCCAGTTGGACTGTCCCCTGGCCTCTCTGAACGCAGGCCCTTCAGGCTGGAACATCCCACAACAGGTATGGGCAAGGTTTACAGGAAGTCCTGGTTCCTCGGGTCTCAGTCATGATGAACAATTCAGTGTTCAGTCATGACGAACATCAATACACGGTCACATTCATCATGAGGACATCGATACACATGGTTCTTTTCCAGGCTGGTAAATGTAGCTGGTTCCACTCCATAGTCCCCATGCTGGGGACCGAACCCAGGGCCTGCAGGTACCAGACAGGAGCTCCCCTCCTGAGCTGCGCCTCCAGCTCAGACTGGCAGACTTAGAATCTGATCGCTCAAGGCCTCCCACGTCTACACTTCTGGGCCCAGTCCATGTCACTATCCATCTCCCTTTCCGGCCTTGCTTGAAGATTCCAGAATATCCACAACACATTACCCATTCCTAGGGCACCCGCCTCATTGTTCTGCGCGTTAGTTACGGCATGGGTGGCACACCAAGGGCCCGTGGGGCTGGAACACCTTTCCGCTGTCCCTGTCTGCCCCACTGTCCTTTGGAGAAGGCCTCCTCCATCCTAGGCCTTGTAATATCAATCAGGCTAACCACACCCCCTGGCAACAGCTTAGCCCATGACAGCCAGAGGCACAGGGATGGCTTAAGCACCGGCAGAAACAAATCTGAGCCAATGAGGTTCAGCTCTGAGCCTTCTTCTTCCCATAGTTACTAATTTGGCTAGATGAAAGCCTGGCGCCCCCAGTGGCCAACTTTATTATCGCTTGAGAAGAAAATGGTAGAGGAAAAACTGCCTGGCGCGGGATGGAGCTCTATAAATGAGTGACAAACAGCCACACAGCCACTAGCCAAGAGCCGATGGAGCTGTTTCTCAGTCTCGAGCTACCCTTGGACTCTTCGGTTGTGTTCCTGTCAGGGTTCAAGCGAAGGACTAATGGAGGCCTTAGTTTAGGCTGCTCACCCTGCAGCAACCCCAGGCGAGCGTTAGTGGGCATCGCTTCAGAGGAAGGGCAGCCACAGTGAACATCACTGGGAGGAGAATGTGCAGGATGGTGGCTCTCCGTGGGCAGCTGACGCTGGACACATGATCACCAGGACATACAGCCCATGCCGCCTGCTTCTCATTCACAGGTCACTGTTCCACACGTGGTGGCACACAGTTTGTTCCCCCATCTGTTCCTAGGACCCCCTAGCACGGCCGGTCACATAGCAGGTGCCCCATTAAGAGCCTCCTGGTACACTCACTCTCCCATCCCATCTGAGCAGGTACCCCAACCTCCCCCCCCCCCACCATGCCCTATTGAGCCAAATGTCTGGCCACCTGCAGATAAGAGCTCCATCATGGGGCTCCCTTGCAAAGAAGCCAAAAGGTGATGTAAGATACGAGTGACACTATTCCTCATAGGGGAAACTGTCCGCAATGCTCCTGCTGCTTGGTTTCTTATCCTTTTTGCTTGCCTGTCACTTTACTGCTCATATGTCATAGGTGTGTGTGTGTGTGTGTGTGTGTGTGTGTGGCTGTGCGGATGCTGTGTAAAGTAGACTTTGCCATTAAGCCAATGCTTGGTACAGGATGACGGCTCTAGGGAATGATAGCATGATGGATGTCCCTGGGCTGGAGTTCTGAGCTCCCCAGTTGCTTGTCAGACCAGCCAGACTGTGACACCCAAAGTCTGGAGCAGGACCCTGAAGGACCATGTGAGGAATAGAAGGAACGTGGGGCAGCCCAGAGAGGGACCACCCTCCACAAGCGGCACCTCTACCCCTTCTCATCCTGTGAGAGGACAGAGAGGGCAGGGAAAATGTGGGGGCCATTTGGGTCCCCTTCCAGCCTCCATCCCAAAGCACCTCTGACAGGGCCTTGTCTTGTAGGGCTGTAGGTGGAACTAGCTAAAGATAAAGATGCGTTCTGGGCCTCCAGGAGGTGCAGAGGCTTGGAGAAGGGTAAGGCGAGGGGAAGGGCGTCTGCCTGATGAAAGTGTAAAAGCCACACTGTAAGCAAGGCCACCCTGACATGGGGACACGGGCGAAGTCTCCTATCCCCTCCACAAGGCCCAGGGGTCAGCTGCTCTGGTGCAAACCAGTTTGCAGTTAGCATCTCTGAACTCCAGCAGGGTGGCTCTTTTGCGCAATGCCTCTTTTCTATACCTGGGGCTTTGGCCCAGTCAGCCCACAGGGATGAGGGAGGAGAGGCCTGGAAGAGATCCCATGGTTTCTGACTTCTCCTTGAGGGATCCAAACCACACTGAGAAAGCCAAACCAGGGACCATATTAAAGGGAAAGAGGAAAAGGAGCAGGAGGGAACCCCCATTACGGAAGCCAAGACCACAGGGCATTAAAGGCTGCTTGTAAATGTCCTGCGGCCCCTTTATGGCAGGTTCGGCTGCCGGCACTCTTCGAGGCTAGAGAAGCTACCCTAGAAAACAGTAACTGCCGCAGGGCAGGTTACACTCCACCTGAAATGGAACCAACCCAGCAAACCTTAACTCGTCCCTGGGAAGCCAGTAAGAAAGCTGGAGATGGGGGGGGGGGTCTTCCCACCATGAGGGGGGGCGGGGCTGCACTGAGGAGGTGGGGCCTCAAGCAAGAGCCCTGGGTCACAGGCAGCTATAGGACTATGTAGCAAGCACCTCCTTGCTGGGACCTCTGCATTCCCCATTGGAACCTAAGCTCTACAAACTGTTGAGATGGATCCTTAGTGGGGCTGGGGACCCAAAAGAGCCAAAGGGAGGGACGATGAGCAGTTACTTGATCAATCCTTGCAACGACCTTGAAGCAAGCATTTATTTAAGATGTAAGACGTTTTAAAATTATGTGTTATGTAGATGTCTATGTGAGGGGTGTATGCGCGCACACACATGAACATGAGTGTGACACTGCACGCGCACACACGCAGAGGTCAGGTGAGGTCAAGGGATAATCCTCAAAAGTCCGATTCGGGCTTAGAGACAAGAACCTTTATCCACTGACCCATCTTGCCTGCCCTGCTGTCCTAAGACCCTTCACTTACTCACACAGCAATGACCCTTTCCAAATGAGGGCTTCGTCCATAGGTTCTAGGGCTTAGGACTTGAACCCATGTCTTTGGGGGCCATAGTGAATCTACTATAGGACGTTACAGGACAGAAGCTCTCAAATACTGGGAAAACAGGTTTGTGTCACCACACCCAGTTTATGTATTGCTGAGATCAAACACAGGCTTTGTGCACGCTAGACGAGCACTCTGTCCAACCCCCTGGCCCCTCTACTCAGAGAACAAACTTGCAAAAACCCACTGTTTTGCCGTGGACTGAAGCCATAACCCTTAGTGGGGTGTGATGGCGCATGCCTGTAGCCCCAGCATTGGACACCTGAGGCAGGGGGACTGCCATTAGTTATAGGCCACTCGGGGCTACAGAGTGAAACCCTGTTTCAAAGGCAAAGTTTCAAAACAACTTTTCTGTCGCCATAGTTCATACAGCTAGAGGAAGGGCTGTGGCATCATGGTGTGTGTGTGTGTGTGTGTGTGTGTGTGTGTGTGTGTATGTGTGTGTATGTGAGTGAGAGAGACAGAGATAGAGACAGAGAGAGACAGAGATGATTTTAGCATCCAGAGCCAGGCTCAAGGGGAAAAAGTTTTAAAACTTAGGGTGGTGGTGGCATACACCTTTAACCCTAGCACTCAGGGGCAGAGGCAGGCAGATCTCTGAGTTCAAGGCCAGCCTGGTCTACAGAGAAAGTTCCAGAACAGCCAGGGCTATACAGAGAAACCCTATATTGAAATACTCCACACACACAAAACCCCCAAAACTTAGAGCCACCAAGCTGGAGGTCAGCTGTGACACCACAAGTCAGTTGTGACATTCCCGGACACAGTATGCTTTCTGTATGTAAGCCTTCTCATCCACCGGGCGGGACCGCTGTCTGGAAAATGGTTTAGAAGCAGTGTATGGATACAATGCTGTCTTACTAGGTGAGGCTGAATTACTTTCCAGTGGCCTCTATGAGGCCTACAGAGCCAACCTTTGAGTCCCTCTTCTTCCTCCCTCCCTCCCTCCCTCCCTCCCTTCCTCCCTCCCTTCCTTCCTCCCTCTCTTCCTCCCTCCCTCCCTCCCTCCCTTCCTTCCTCCCTCCCTCTCTTCCTCCCTCCCTTCCTTCCTTCCTCCCTGTCTTCCTCCCTCCCTCCCTCCCTCCCTCCCTCCCTTCCTCCCTCTCTTCCTCCCTTCCTTCCTCCCTTCCTTCCTTCCTCCCTCCCTTCCTCCCTCCCTCCCTCCCTCCCTCCCTCCCTCCCTTCCTCCCTCTCTTCCTCCCTCCCTCCCTCCCTCCCTCCCTCCCTTCCTTCCTCCCTTCCTCCCTCCCTTCCTCCCTCCCTCCCTCCCTCCCTTTCATCCCTCTCTTTATTTTTGTGAGCCAGTCTGTCCTCAAACCCCTGGGCTCAACTGATCGTCCCACCCCAGCCTCCCCTACAGCTGGGTGTGCACCGTTGTGTCCTTATCGGTTTCCACTTTCTAGCAGGCAGAATCTTTTGTTGAGATTGTTGCCATTGCTGAGACTGGATCT